TTTCTTTTTTTTTTGTATTTTACACATTTGCATAGTAGTACTTAAACTTTAAATATCCATATATGATACAAACATATGTGTGCTTATGGGCAGGCATATATATTATATGACTATAAGTATATCTTCGCATGAGATTTAATTTAGTTTGATTTTCGGCCGCTGCTTAAAATTATTACGTCTTATTTCACGTTTATTGTTGTCTTATTTACGCCGCATGTCATTTCACGTTTTTATTTTTTCAACATTTGTCAGCGATAATTTTATGCGTGTATGTAAGTATGGTGGTGTGTGTGATCACAGATTCATCCAAAAATATTTATCCACTTATATGCATCGAACAATGATACATATGTATGTATGTATATGTGAATGTAGAAGAACTGAAGAACACTCTTTTAGCGTTTTAATTAACTCACTCAATGCCATGAACACAAGATCATACTGTATTATATTATATGAAAATAAATATCACAATACCGCAGACTATGTCATGTTTTTTCAGCTTTATAAGCCTTATGGCAACTATTCACTAAAATATTTTCGCAAAAAGCCAAAAAACTGAAGTGTAGATTTAAATACATCCAAATTTACTACAACACAAGCTTTCTTGATGTATTTACGAGCAAGCTACCGTTAAACACCTTTGCAACAATATCCAAATCACAACACATTATTTAAAAAACAAAAACAAAGATAATTAGTGCCGTTGACTTAGGAGCGGATTACTTGCAATTGCTTGTCACCAACACGGTCTTTTCTCATTTTACATGAATATTGAAAAAAAAAAAAAACTCATCACAAATGTCACAGCGCTGTTAAACCACAAGCGAACGCGGACTATAAAACCACGAGTCACCAAAATATAATTAATTTCTTTGCAGATTTTCGCACATTACCACTCGCACAACGGTTCGTTGACGCTTTTCGGTTTCGGTTTCGTTTTTGACTTTTTGTGCTTTCTTTTAAATTTTCGAATAAAACTTTGCGTCCAAATTCGCTTTTCACACACTTCGCAAACGAACTGACGCTGTCGGAGGTTGGAAGCCAACTGATGACAAATACAAATTCGAAGATCCTTAACCGCCGGCATTTAGCTACGAATATGTGTGATTGCTCGAACATTGTTGGAGCACAGCGCAACCGCAATAGTGGTTTTATGGGGAGTCACAAATTACGTGTGAGGGTGTCTTCGAACAAGCATCTCGCATTCGAATTAAGGATTTCTTTCTATGAATGAAAATATTTAGACAAATGAAACAATTGTAAACTTTTGGAAATATTAGACCAAATTTTTTTGAAACCCCATGTGCCAGGAATACTTTAATGTTAAAATCATCAGCAAGTTTTTGCCGCCTTTTTATCCTATTTCAAAAATTTTTTTCGTCACAGTCTTATAAAATTTATTTGAAAACTTTTTAGAAATGTGAAAGTCTTCATATTCTTTTTAAACTTGATATTGCTATCTTGCCTGACTACGAGTGACTTTTTCCTATTTCCAAAAATATAGAGACTTTCAAAGTGTCATCGTTTTACAAGATAGATAGAAGTCGCTGAAAGGACTAAAGACTATACCAAAAATCGAGTTTGAGAAGTGTTTCTTATCATCGAATGAAGTGTTTTTGAAGCCAACAACATTGGCATAGAAAAATTAATAACTTCTTTTTCAAAAACTGATAATTACACTAAGTTTTTGAACACACCTCGTATGTAGTTTTCTAGTCGTTCTACAGAAGCATCTGCCATATACTGAACAACCTCAATTTTTTTTATAGCATCTCTTAATTGGTGACATGTGCTTTTCACTATGACGTCACTGCTGAGTTGCAACAGCTCATTCACGTTGCTTTTAAGTCGCTTTTCATGGTTAGCAACATTTTCATTGCGTCAAATTCGAAATGTTTTGACTCTCCCTTGCTCTCGCTCTCTCACTCAATTACTTCAATAGCATTCAGCTGTTTTGAAATTTCATTCATGCTTTCAAATGTTCATTCGCATTGCCTTAGTTACGAATACTTCGAATGTTTGTGCTCATACTCGGAGTATTTATTATTGTTACTATATTGTAAATAATCGTTATCTCACTTTCATGTGTAAACATTTGTTAACTAAATTCCATGTACGGTTGGAAATAATTTTTACTATTGTGTGGGTTTAAAGTACACCTCTCAAAAACTGACAAATTTCCGTACACATTTTGAGCAATACTCGACATAGTGGGTAGATGGGTTAAATCGGAAAATAGCCGCCCTGTATTAGATATATTGGATGCAATGGTGACTCATGGCGAATGCGTGGATGACTGCCATACCAATAACACATATTTCGCTTATTGACGAAGCCATTCAGGCCGAAATATGGCCTCGTTGGTCTGGTTTTGTAGCGTCCCTATTGAAAATCCGTTGTTTTGTTAACAAAACTTTATATCTTCACACAGATGAAAATCGGCAGAATTACTCTGAAATAAAGTTTGTCGCCTTCATCCAGTATTCCGTTGACATAATTTCTCAGCAGGGTTTTTACTCTAATGCATAATGCAGATACGTACAGAAGAATACCAGAATAAAGGCACCTGCGAACGAGTGCAACAATTGGAAGATTTTACGGAAAGGTCTTGGTTTACGGACTAGCAAAATCCAACTCATGCAAGTATTGAAGGCACTCGACCATTCGGCGCGTGACTCGTTTGTTGAGTGAGCCCGAAACGAGATGGCCACCGATCTCAATTTTCATATGATACTTTTTTTCAATGGTGAGGCTCACTTTTGTAGAGTGGATACGTTACATTTCTCATTTCTGATACTTTCTCATTTCTGATACTCATAAAAATCATTGTCTGGTGTGCTCTATGAGCAGAGGGACTCCCCTCGCTGCATGTTTCTTCAAAAAATTGATACCTACCTTAGCGTTACAGTCAACGTGGAACGCTGTGGGCTCTGACTAATGACTTGTGCAGATCCAAATGAAGGTCCACAAAGCCAAAGTAGCAATCAATTTGTTGAAGTAAACTTTTGGGAAAGTGAAAACAATCGGGCCTCCCGAATGAAAGAGCAAGCCACGGCGGTCAATTGCCCCAAACCAGCTTCAAAAT